AGCTCTGGCCTATGGAACTGCACTCTCACCTGTCTTGAGAAAGTTGGTGATAGCCAAGAGAGTGGTCACCACAGAGTTCAGGCAAAGGCGAAGCCACGCAATGGAACCCTTGGAGATTTTACTGCACTGCCCAGAACCTAAGATGTTGCTCTGGGAGCACGTGCTGTGTGGGCTGGGTACAGTCCAGCAGGTGTCACCACAACTGGGGCGAGGTGTACTCAGACCCATCCAGTCCCACCTCTCTGGGGCCACCCTCGCTAGCCAGTCTCCAGCTGATGCTGAGATACCACAAACCAGAGGTCAGGAAGGTGGGCATGAGTATTCTGGTCCCGGAAGGTGCACCACTCTTCAGAAATTGATAGGCTGGCAGAGGGTCTGCTACACGGAAGGATCTTAGCAAGCATCCACCAAATGGAAGCATGCGTGAATTTGAATGTAAAGAATAGCTAGCTCTTCTGTGAGTTTGGGAAGTGTGGTGACCCCAAAGTGAATGGGGCAGGATGGCTTTTTTTTTTTTTTTTTTAAGACGCAGGCTTTAGAGTCAGACAGGCCAGGTTCAAACCCCAGCGCTGCCAGTTTCTCACCATATACCGCCTTGGGCAAGTCATTAACACATCTAATCTTAGTTTCCTCATCTGTGAAATAGGGATAGTATCCACCCATCGTCAAATCTTGTGAGAATTAGTAATAATAGTAATAGATAACACATATTAAGTGCTTACTATGAGCCAGACACTGTCCTAAACACTGTCCTATAATAATTCATTTAATCTCCCCCCACCCCCGCAAATGCCTTGATGTAGATACATTATTATGCTCATTTTGGTGAGGGGAATGGAGACCAGCTTCAGCTCAAGCAAGTCTCCTAAGAATGGCCTGAGACCCCACTGACTCAGCCTCTCACTGGGCCAGCCTCAGGCAGCCAGGTCCCCAGACACGCTCCACTGACTTCCTGCGGGCGCAGACTGTGGGCCAAAGCCCTGGCTGGGCCACTGGCTTCAGGAAGGCCCAGTCACCCATGATGCCCAAATGCTCACTTCCACCCAGGGTGGGCTCTGGGCTCTGGCTGCCCTGGCCTGGGCAGGCTGCCCAGAACAGGCAGCCCTGGCTGGACAGCTTTCTCTGGCCCTGGCCATGGGGACAGGAGGCGGCAGCAGCCCAGCTGGGCCCTGGCCGTAATGAGGCCTCATTAGTGGGATCCAGCTGCTCCAGGCCCACTTTGGGAGGCCGACTCCTCCAGCCCCCGCCTCTGACTTTTCTTAATAAGAGTGGGCATGCCTCCAGAGGGGCAAGGAATCCAGTTGCTTTGTTGTGCCCTGTGACTCCAGGGGGAAGGTCCCACTGAGCTAGGACTGAGTCAGGGGAGGGCTCTAGAGCTGCTGGGGAGGGGCAGGAGATGGAAGGGAAGGGAGGGTGGGGTCTCAGGTTCAGAGAGGAGGCCTGAGGAATGTTGGGCCTTTTCCTCTGGATCTAGATACTGTCCAGTTCACTGGGAGGGTAGAGTTGCACATCTCCAATCACCTGGTTGGTCATCTGGGTCATTGCTCAGAGACTGGTGACCATCTGGGTCATTGTCCCAGCTAAGAGAGCCCCTCCTCTGTGCTAGGCTTTATATAAGGAGAGTGCCCACTACTATGTGCTAGTGCCCGAGCTAGGAGAATACCTTCCCTACCTGTGGTAGGGAAGCATCCATGGCACCCCAGCACCTGTGTTTGGAAAGCACTCCCTGTGTGCCAGGTCTCTTTGAAGAGGACACCGGCCCTGTGTCAGCCCGGCGCCAGTGAGCCCCTGTGGTGTGCTGTCCCGCACTAGATGAGTATCCCTTGTATGCCAAATTCCGTGCCAGGCGAGGCCCAGTGAGTGCCCAGCCTTGAGATGGGTGAGCACCCACTGTGCGCCTGGCACTGTGACAGATGGTGCCCAGTGTGTGACAGGCTCTATACTAAGGGAGTGCCCAGTGTGTGCCAAGTCTCTACTAGCTGAGCACTTGCCACATGCCAGAACCTGGGCTGGGTGAGCACCCACTGTGCGCCTAGCCCTGCAGTGACTGGTGTGGATAAGAGGTGTACAAACCCTCATATCAAAGCATAACAGAACAGGCCAGGGTGGGGCAGCCCTGGGTGGCCAGAGGTGCTTGCAAAGCCTTCTGGGACGATTTAGACGCTCAGGCACCCAGGGTCCTGGCCCAGGTGACTCTACTTTTATTTATCACAAGGTTTCCCAATGGCAGAAGTGACCAGTGTGTTCAAAGACATGGGGAGAGGCCACGGAGGCTCAGCAAGGCCTCTGTTGCTCAAGACTCGTGCCAATGGGGAGTGGGCAGAGGGGAGGGAACTGAGTCAGCCAGCTTGTGACCTTGGTGTGAGGCCATGTGGTTGAAGCTGATCCAGCAGGACTCTCCTGTCCTGGGCCCCTGTCCTCCAGCCCCCTGTCCTCTGAGCCTCGGGCAGCTCAACCCCACACGTGGACAGAGGCACTAGGTCTCCACGGAGGTATCACCCCACCCACCCCCCGGTGCCTCCGAGCATCCCAGCTGCTCCCAGGCTTGGAGGCACCCTGGCCAGCTGGGTTCTCGCCTGGCCCTGTCCTAGGAGCTGCTGAGGCGTGAGGGAGGCAGCTGAGCTGGCCTGGCAGAGACCATCTGGGCTGGGAGTGGGGGGAGGGACACGTGCAGCAGGCATGTGGGCCCGGGCACGTGCTGCTGAGGGGCTTGCTTCTCCACGGGGCACCTGCCACATGAAGAGTGGGGCAGAGGCGCCAAGGGTGACACGGGGTATCTGCTGACACTAAAGAGAGGCAGGGGGACCCGTGTCCTCACACCCAAACCTGAGGCAAAGCAGACAGAAGTGAGAACCCCATGGCAGGGGCTAGCTACCCGCTCCCTGAATACCAGGGCACAGGTAGTAAAAGTCACAGGGCTGGGACTGTCTCAGCAGCTGACACGCGCAGTCCTCAAGGCCCACTCTTCTACCATACCATGGCATCCAGAAGGGCATGTCTGAAGGGACTGTCCTTAGCTGTTTGCCTTTAGGGGACCACAGGCACCTAACAAAGCCCTGGCTCAGCTGCCTAGGTTAGCCAGGAGGGATGGCGCTCCTCAGAGCCTGTATCCTAGAGACGCGCACTGAATGGAGGTGGTTTCGGTTCCAAACTGGGGCCCGAGAATAGAGTAGCCCAAGGTCATCAGCAGAACTGAAAAAGAGGTGGGAACAGAATCTCTAGCAGCCACTGTGGGGGTGGGGGTGGGGGTGGAGCCCAGGGGACAGATGTTATGGGCCTCAAACGCAGCAGTAGCGGGCAGAAGCCAAAGGGCAGAGGGCATGGAGGAAACCAAGCCCCAGCTATCTTTAGGCACATCCTGGGGCTGGGAACAGCGTCCCAAGGCAGCATTCCCTTCCTCAGACAGGCGCGGGCCGGGCAGGCAGAGCGGCAGGCAGAGCGGCAGGCAGAGCGGCAGGCAGAGCCGAGAGAGTCCGGGAAGCTAGGCTCCTGGCAGGGATCATGGGACTTTGTGATTCATGTTCCTTATGTGGCCCGCATGGTCCCACTGCCTGCCTGCCACGGTCCTTTCAGGGTCACTTCAGAGAAGGAAGAGCTGCCAGGGGATACTCAGAGGGCTTCTTCGGTTTTGTGGGGCTCAGAGCCTCCATGAAGGATGGGGCAGAGCCACACCCCATGTCCTCTGTACGACGGGCCCGTGGCAATTCCAAGACTTCTCTGGGAAAGGGAGACCGTTTCTGGTCATATCACAGCATCCACCTCTAGCAAGCGTTCAGGTCCTAAGACTTCCCTCTCTGCCCATTTCTGAGCACCCGGAGCTCAGGCTGGTGCAGGAATACCTTCACACGCTTGGTTCATTCAGAGTTATTCCAACCAGGTAGGAGCCAGGCCAGAGCAGGGCTTTGGGGCTGAATGCTGGAAGCTCAGAACGGGTCAAGATAGAGGGTCCTTACTCTGGAGAAAAACCACCCATCTCCCTCTCCCAAACCATTCCTTTGGACCAGGTACTCTGAGTCCCAAAAATCTTTGGTGAGAGACAGAGCCTATTTAGGGGGTGGAGGGAGCTAAGCAGAGAAGGTAGGCCAATCAGTTCTTAACAGAATGAGAAAAGCAACAGAAGGAATTGATGTGGGCAAGAGAGTGCCAAGGGAAGGGGCTGTGCTCAGTCACTGGCTCCCTCCCCTGACAGCTGCCCAGTCTAGCCCGTCCCTGAGGCAAGATCTTGAGAGGAAAAATCCAGCCGCTGCTCTTGGGACAGGATCGCACATCCTTTCCCCAGTTCCTGACTCCAGTGCCAACCTCCTCCATCCATTACTGAGTCTTCCTCCTTCCAGCCCTGACCAGGCCCTGCTCTTGCCCTCTGCTTCTCATGGCATCTCACTACCTCCTCTCCTGTGCTCTGAGGCAGTAGGCAAAGGAAGGGAGGCATGGCCTCAAGGGGGAGAGGGAAATTTTCTGAGGCCTCAGAAGAGAATTCAAAATGAAACGTTCTATGTTACTTTTCAGAGTGAGAAGGAACTGGGGGAGTAGAGAAAAGCCAGACAGGGCCTGAAGACCCTGTCTTCAGGACATACAGGACATCCCCTGAGGCAGGCAGAGCACAGAGTGGGGGTGGGGTGCTAGGGAGCCAACCATGTGACAGTCCTGGGTGTCCCACTGTCCTCCCAGTGGGACAGACTGCAGCCTCTCCAGAGCATCTCTGGTGATGAGGACGGGGAGTGTGCTTCTGCCTCCTGCCATGCCTGTGTGGGCTCTGTGGCAGAATCTGCCCTACTACAGGCTCAGAGCCACACCACCATCTAACCTGTTGGGTAAGGGGCTGCCTGCTTGGAGCCTGGGATAGCCCGAGTACTCAGGAGCCTTGGCGGTGCCAGACTCAGGGCCCCAAAAAGCCTCCTAGGCCCTCCAGTCATGGCAAGCAGCTGGCAAAAGTTCCCAGAGCAGGCGGTGCTCACGACGCCCCCACCCCCTCCTCCCTGCAGTCTGGTCCCTGTACTCACCAGCATCCCTTTGGCACCTTTTCCTACCATGGCAGCAGCAGGTTGGGGGGCTGTGGAGTCCTAGACCCCACTCACAGGCTCTGCTTCCAGCACCTTTCAGACCACAGACCGCAAGAGCTGTGGAGAGAGCAGAGAATAGGGTGGGAAGCTGGCCCAGGAAGATGAGGGCAGGACCAGGGACAAGCCTGACTGTCAGGGCTCTCCAGGACAGGTAGTGCAGGGCCCAGACCACCAGCTGGCAGGCCCTTGCTTCCCTCCCAGGGTGGCCCACCTTCTGCCAGGCCATTTCCCGCCTCGCTTCTTTCTGGATGACCCTGGATCTGCTCTTTCCTAGCCCTTTTTCCAGCCCTTCCCCTGGATCCCTTGGTCTCCACGCTTCCCATCCCAATGGGCAAAGGTCTATTTTTAACTCTCCAGATGCCCAATTCTATAAAAGATAAAAAAACGAACACAGAACTGGGACAGAGTCCAATTCCTTCATCGTCTGTGTGAATGACTTCAACCTTTCTCCTGAAGGGGAGTCAGCTTGCATCAGCACACACTGGCCAACCTCACCCCAGCCGGACAGCCAGGACAGTCCCTCCTCCTGGTGTCAGTCGGCTTGGGCTCCGGGGCGGCTGGGCATGCTGCTGTGTCACCAACCTAGACCATAAGGTCTGCAAACACCGAGCACACCGCGGGCAGGCACACGGCCCTGCCCTCGCTCAGGCTATCCTCTGCAACATCTTCCCTCCTGCTCACCCGGGAAAATACTGTAAATCCATGCTTAAATGTCACCTCCTCTCTGTAGCCTTCCCTGGCACTTTCCCCAACCAGAGTGAACAAAGTGCTTCTTCCTTTCTTTTTTTAAGCAGATTTATACTAGGGTCCTTATCACTCGTATTAGACTTATTTGCTCATGTCTTTTCTTTCTTAAGCAGATTTATACTAGTGTCTTATCAACTCATATTAGACTTATTTGCTTATGTCCGTCAACCAAGAGTCTGAATTCGCCCGAGGGTTGGGTCTGTGTTTCATTTACCTCCCGTGTCAGCACCTAGCCCAGGATTGGCTTGCAGCAAGTCTTGGTTGAATTGAATTGAAGGGCAACGGGTAAGGCTGATGCACTGGATGATGGTCCAGGTCAGCCAGAGATCTAGCAGAAAGCATCTGAGAGGCAACGTGAAGAGCTGCAGGAGGCAGCAGACAAATGGAAGGAGTGGCCACACGGCTGTGCTGGTGTACACAGGTTTCATGTCAGACACAGATGGAAGAGGAGGTAGTTTTTGACAGGCCTCAGGAGAGGAATCAACCTTCAGGGGGCCTCCAAGAACTCTATCATAGGAAGAAAACCCTGGGTCAGGTGGACAAGGAGGTTCAACCTCTATGGGGCCTGTCCCAGGAGGGACTGGGCTCAGCCTCTGGGCCCACAGCCACCTGTCAAGGACCACCTCTCGCCTACAGGCCCAGGAATCTTTTGGAAGGCCAGAAGAGATGAGAAAGAAACTCCTTGCCTATGAAAATCAACCAATGGCTTCCTTAGGACCTCGCCCTGGCCACTCAGTGTACTCCACAGCCGTCTCCCCAAGGCAAGGGCAGGCGCAGTTGTGACTTGTAACCATTTCCCTTTTGTCAGTCACCGAGGCTGGCCTCTCTGCCTCTCAGTGACCTCCTAAAGAGGTCCCCGCTCATGACTTTGGTCTTCTGGGAGCAGTGAGGAGAAGAAGGGGAGGGGTGTGTTCCCTTAGAAGATCATACCCTTGTCTTCTTCACTCACGCATGCCTCCCTAAGCCAGAAACTCTAGATCTGACTTCCCCAAAGCTGTCCCTCTTCAGCCAACGAATAATAATGACAGTAATAACGACGATAGTAATAATGGCAGATGGCATAATTAAAAGCCAACTCATGGGTTGGTAATTATTATAGCCCCTGGTGAGGTAAGTAAACTGAGGACACTCTGCCCAGAAACTTAGGCTACAGAACGTTCTCAATCAGGTTATTCCTGAGCACTGACCACAAATACAGTCCCTGTGCTCACAGTGTTTACAGACTGGTGACAAAAAGACTGCTTGGTACTGGCCTCCAGGAGAATGAATGAATTGGGTGTAAAGCTTTGCTACTTCTGGACCATCACTGGCAAGTAGTTAGTTTAGCATGTGATGAAAAGCTTGGGCTCTGGGACCTGGTAGAACTGGGCTAGAATTCTGGTTCTGTCACTCACACATGTATGTGACTGTTAAGTAACAGAGAGTTACTTAAACTTCTCTGAGCCCCGGTTTTCTCAGTCTGGAAGATGGGGCTAGTAATACTTCCCTTGTAAGTTCTGAAGGCCCTGCTTAATTTTGGATTCATCTACAAGTCCTCCACGTTTTCCTCCCCTCCAGTCCATTAATCTTCCCAAAGCCCTAAAGCCCTGATTCCCGCCCATCGTTCTCCACAGCCAACAGGATATGGCCTAGATTGTTTAGCAGGCGTTTAAGGCTGGCCACAATTCAATATATTTATTCCACAAATATTTATTTCAGGCATGCTCTGGGCCCGACCTGTGCTGGGCAGTAAGAACTCATCAGTCTCTGCCTTCCTGCATCTTACAAGCTAGGGGGAAAAAGGGAAACTTGTGACACAAATACAATCACACACTGAGATAAAGGGTGTGACAAAGAAAGATCCTTCTATGAGAGTCTACAGCAGGGGGATCTGGCCTCGGCTGAGAGTCACAGAGGGCTTTCCTGAAGAAGCGATGTTTAAGAGCCAGAGGAACTTATTTAAGCAAGGTGACAATCATGAGGAAGAGAAAAGGAAGAGAGAGTCAAGCAAATGAAATAAATATGTGCAAAGACCCTGAAGCTGGGGCTCAGATAGCAAGGGAGAAAGTGGCCAAAGATGAAGGTGGACAGATAAGCAGGGTCAGGGCCTTTGGGGCCCGGATTTTGGTTTTTATCCCAAGAGCAATGGCAGTAACCAAAGTCTTTAAGGCAGAGTTCCACCTGGCAGGAGCAATTGGTAGAATGTGCATTTTGAAAACATCACCCTAGATACAGTGTGGAGAAAGGACTGGAGGGAGGGGTTAGTGGAAGAGAAGACAGTCAGGAGGAGGTCAGGCCGGGAGTGAGGGGGCTTGGACCAAGAAAGTGGTGATGGGTAGGGAGAGGTGCACAGAGCTGGGAAAATACAGAAGGTAACATTGGTAGGACTTGATGATGAATTTGGACAGGAGGTGAGGGACAAGGAGGGGGTCTCTGGTTTCTGCTGCCACAACAGGAAGAAGCCAGTGCCAGGCCCAGGGACAGGAGTGCTGGGGCCCTGCAGGTTTAGAGTGGGCAGAGGGTGAGCTGGGTGTGAGTTGCCAGTGAGAGGGCAGTCACAGGACCTGGTTATCTTTACAGTCTCTGCTCAGTATTTCCTTCTCTTCAAATAGGGCTGTCAATCAATTGTAAGGGTGCATCTGACCCAGCCGGCACATCCTCTCTGGGAATGGAAAGGTTACAGGCTCTTTCTCTGCCTTCAAGGACCTCATAGTTTAGGAGAAAGAGAAGGAAGAGGAGGAAGTATAACCTCTGTTCACTGTGATGGAGGGAGTGGATGGGGCTGTAGGAGCCAGGGGGGGCTTCTAGCTTTGCCTGGAGCCCAGGTCGGCTGCTTGCAGCCACCTGCGGCCATGTGGTTCATTGGTTCATTGGTTCAGTATTCCCAAAGGTTCTAGTCTCCATGTCTGTTCACGCGATTTCGTCTTCCTCCAGCATCCTTGTCCCCATTTCCGTCTGCATATATCCTACCCACCTTCAAAACCTGTCCCAATAGCGTTATGTTCAAGAAGCCTTCCTCCCTCCTCCAGTTGCAGTCCCCTTTTCACTGTACTCCCAAAGCACGCTGTGTACATCTGATTAACACGTTCGCCACATGTAGTGTTGAGACACGGTTACTGTGTCCAAATCTGGCTTCCCATAAGCTGGAGAGATCTTCCAGGGCAAAGGTGTGATTCTTCTGTGTCCCCAGGGCTGGGCACTGATCAGGTAACGCGACAGTCGCAGTGCAGGCCGAATAAGGGGGCGTTTTCTCTGCGGTCCTTGGAAATACTTGGGCATGCTCAGTGCCACCCATTAGTCCCTTCCCAGAGCCAGTTCCCTCACCCACTATTCTCAAACCTTCTGATGCTCTCTCACTTTGGACTCTTGAGGTCCTTCTTTCCTTTTCGATTCCTCGCGCCCCCTCCACCCCAACCTTTATTTTCTAGCAGCAGCAGCATCAAGCTTGTTTCAGCAAATAGACCCAAGGCTTTGTGCCGGAGCTGTCAGAGAGCTGTGGACGCGGCTCCTTTAAGAGTGACCAGGGAGGGGGCGTGGTCTGCGGAGAGCAGGCCCGAAAGGGGGCGCGGCTCCTTTAAGAAGCAGCCGGCCGACTGCTAGGAGGCCCCCGGCCGGCAGGCAGGGGCGCGGTCGCTTTTGGAACTGCGGTACCTTCCATAGCACCCCGATTCCTCGAAGCCGGGTGCGTCCGATTTAATCGGGGTGCGAGGTGTTGGGGGGCGGTGTTACATCAGCCGCCACGTGTGGGCCTCTCAGCTGGTGTGGAGGCGGCGGCCCCGCCCCCGGCCCCAGCGGTGGAAAAGTACCGGGGCGCCGAGGTCCCCGCCCCCTTGCCCCGCCCCCAGGCCGGCTCCGGCCCCTCCCGGCCCTCCTGGCTAGCCCCCCTCGGGTCCCGCCCCGTCCCCGCCGCCTTCTACCGCCCCGCGGTGGCTACGGGGTGCGGGGCGCCGGCTAGGGGTGGGCGCCCCCGGCTACTAGGCCCCTGCCCTCACCTGTGGCCGCCCGGGCCCGCCCCACACGCACCCGGAATGAACGTTGGGGTAGGGAGGGCGCAGATTTTCCCCGGAGTAGCAGCCCCAAAATAACTCCACGGCCGTAGTGCCTTCCCAAAGCCGTGGCCAGGAGCCGCTGACAAAGATCCCGAGGGCGTCGGGACCCCCTGGTGCGGCTTCCCGGGACCCGCGGGCGCGCGGGAACCCAAACCTGGCCGGTGGGTGGGCGGGCAGATAGGAAGGCAGGCCGGCTGGAGTAGCCAGATAGGCAGCCAGGCTGGCCAGCAGTGCCAGGAGATGGAGCGGCAGCCGGCACGCGGGGCGCAGACCCAGCCCGCGGGTTCCCGGCCGCCGAAGGCCCCCGGCGCGCAGACCCACTGGCGCCCCAGACGGACCGTGACACGTTCTGGTGCCGGCGCTACCCGCACAGCTCTGCGCCCGCCGCCCCCGACCAAGCCGGCGTCGGCACGCAGTGCCCCCCCCTTCGGGAGCGCGCCCCCCCCCCCCGTTCTCGCCTGCTTCAGCTCCTTGGTGACAGCGGTGACACCCAGACGCGCGCACCTACCCCCGATCTTTGCGGCGAGACAGACAACCCCGTGCGTGCACCCACACTCTTACCCACCGATGCCCGCGTGCAAGCGCGATCACACACATACACACACACACTCACTCACTCACTCACTCACGCCCTCTGGTCCTGGGGCTTAGCCCCACGGAGATACCAAACCCAGACCGACGGCAGGATGGACAGAGGCGCGGGCCGCAGCGCCCCCTTCCCCAAGCCCCCTTACCATGCTGCAGCCCCCGGCCCAGGCGTGCTGGGTCCACACCGCGGTGCGCCCAGGTGGCTTTCTTAAAGGGAAAGTTGCATCAGCCTCCCGAGGCTCAGTGCCGCCGCGAGTCCGCCCGCCCCGCCGCGCCGCTCGCGGCTCCTCCTGAGCTTGTTGTGTTTTGGTTTCGGAGAGGCGGGGGCCAAGAGTTTGGTGAAAGTTTGGAGAGTGGAGAAGGCTTGCGAGACCTAGCCAAGTCCCTCCCCTCCCTGAACAGCTCCCCTGGCCGCTCTCCCCACCCCCCCATCCCCCGTTTCATCCCCACCCCACTGGCCGACTTCTCAGGCTCCTCCTCCCAGGGAATAAAATTACAAGTCTCTCCAGCTTTCAGATGATTGATCCCCAGGAACCCCTGGGAGTGGGCTCCACAAAGGAGCCCCCTTCTCCGCCCTTGCCTTGCTGCCCTCCAGCTGGGGCCCTTGGAAGAAGCAGATGTCGTCGCCCCCTTCGGCTAGGCTGGAATGAAGCCAGGAGGCCTGGGGCACTTTGGGGGGCTGGGGCTGGAGTTGGCCCTCTAGGCCCCTGGTCTTCTGCGCCTGCGTTGCCCCCAGGGAGAAATCAGAGCAAATTCCATTCCCTTTGGAGCGGTGCCTCCAGGGACTGTGGGCACAGCTGGGTAAGACCTGGGTCCTAATCCTTAGAACTGGAGGTCTCGGGGTAATCCTTCCTCCAGGGACACTCCTTTGACCGCTGGTTTGGTCAGCCCTACTCTGCTGCTTGTGTTAGGGGGCTGCAGACACCAGCCTGGGCCCCTTACTCCTTCCCTGGGGAGACAGACCTGGGTTCCAATACCCGGTAAAGGAGACTTTGCCAAAAGGAGTCTGCTGAAGCTCAGTTTCCACCCCTGTGAAATGGAGAGGATGACCTAAGGTAATGCATGTCCTTATATATAGAACACCTTGCTCCAGGCTGCCTCTGGGCAGCAATGCCTAGCAATTGGTGGAAAGTTTCCTTACCTTGTGAGAGCCACCAGTTGGTACTGGCTGTCAGGGAACAGGTGTTGCCCCAGCCTGAGTGGGACATCTACTCTGAAGCAGCCCAGCCTGGAGCAGTCTGCACCCCGAGTCTGTTCCTCACTGTTATCTGGTCAGGAAACTGGTTTTATTTGTTTCCTGGGGACAGTCAGCCTCCAAAAAGCTGATGCACACACACCAAGTCACACAAGTGAGATTCCACTTTATTAATTTACAATCAGAGACACTGAGCAAGATAATAGGTATCAGGCACAGACACTTCCTGTAGTCAGGAGCGCTCTCAGACCAAACACAGTTCATTTCACAAACTTTCCCCAGGGCCCTAGGTTCAGAATTTACAACCTATTTACATTGGAGACGTCATCAGATCTGAAGAGACTCTTTATCTCATCATAAGATTATTTGCATTTTTACTTTGTTCCTAAACCTAACAGGTATAGCATGTTTGGGAGTTAGTTATATTCTCCTATGAATGAATTGCAGGTGTGTGTGTATGTGTGCATGTGTGCGTGTGTGCACGCACACACACAAATGTGTCTCAACTTCGGCAGTATGTTGTGTCTGCGTCCCCTTACCCTGTGGATTTGTGTAGGTGGATCTGTGTTTGAGGAGAAGTGACTGTATGTGCGCTGCTCTGTGCAGTGGTAGGTGTGTGTCCAGCTCCAGGGCCTCGGCACATCTAAGCCAAGCTCTTCTCGGCCCTCCTGCCTAGGACATACATTCTGTTTCTGGCCTCTCTCTCCCACCCTCTCCCCTGAGGCTTGTCAAAAAGGGCCACCACACAGGGAAGGCAGGAAGAGGTCCCCAGGTAGGGAGTGGGAACAAGGAAGTGTGTGAGAGAGCAGGGCGATGGCTTCCTTCTCCCTTGAAGCAGTAGACTGAGGGAAGAGGGCACCGAGTGAAATTTCTGATGATTATTATGGTCCACGGAAACTGGGGCTTCCTAGCTCACACTGAGGCATTCATATGAAGGGAGGTATGTCTGGGATACTCAGAGCTGACCCCAGGAGGCCCTCAGGCCCTGGAGCTGGGGGCAGGGGAGGGTGGGGTGCTCAGGGTCAGCTCTCTAAGGACTCATCAGGAAGATAGGAGATTAATCCAGAGGCAAGGAGGCAGTTTAGCACCTTAGTCCATGGGTTACGGGGAAAAGATATTCCCTGGGATGTTTGGGGAAGTTAGAGATTTTCCCATGAGGGTTTTTGTGTTATGAGATGACATAACACAAAATATATTTGTATGCATATAGATTCATGGATGTATGTATTTTACCCCCCTTGATCTAGAAAAGACTTCAGGCAGCCATACAGTTAGTTGAGACCCAAGGAGGAACTTGAGAAAGATTTTGATTGGAAAAGCTGGCTCCATGAGACAGGGACAAGAGCAGCTTCTTTTTTTTTTTTTTTTTTTCCCCTCCCAACTAGAATGAGGCCCCAAGGGAGGCAGGTCTGGGCCCAGCCCAGGTCAGAACTGGGATGGCCTTCATTGCTGGCTGTGAGCTCCTGGCCCTGGGCAGCTGGCCCACAGGGTGGGAAGAATATGGCTAGCCTGGGCCACCATCAGGAGAATAGGGGGATCACGCCTAGGACAGACAGGAGGAGGACTAATGGGGACAGACGACCTGCTGACCTGCTTCTTCCTGGGGCAGGGCAGCAAGAGGGCAGGCAGCTGGCTGGGCCCCACCCACTGTGGGCTAAGGTGTGTCTCCCAAGCCTCTAGTTACAGTGCTATTTCCTGCGAAGGCTGAACCCAGAGTCAGATCCCCCAGTGCTGGCTGGTTTCCTCCTTTGTTGTCATCAGCCTATAGGATTAGGGCCCGTGTTGGGACACAGAGTTGGCTTAGGTGTATGTCTGTGGAAATAGGGATAAGGCCAGACTCGGGCCACTTCTGGAGGGCACTGAAGGAGCTGGTGGCATTAGGCACTTGGTGGAGGGGTGCGGAGGGGCCCTGCTGAGACACTGGAGGAGGGTGGACACTGTTTGAGTTGCAGCCTGGCCTGACGATTGGTCTCCACCTCCTTGAGTCCCAGCCTCAGAAACCGGGAAGCATTGCTGGGAGTGGCCTGCATGGGCTCTTTTCTCGGATTCTTTCTCCCTTGATCTTGGAGTCCAGTGGTCAGTGCCTGGCACCTTCCTTGCCTTGCCCCAATGCAAGGGAACAGGTTAAATTGGTTCCTGATCCAGGAGATGCCTGTGTGGTTCCACAGGGGTCTGTGTCTCTCAGACCATTCTGCTGGGCTGTTTTGGGTTCCAGTCCATGGAGGCAGCAGGTGCCAACCATGGGGCTCAGAGCAGGGTGCCAGACTGGATTTGGCAGCTCCAGGTAAAATTAGGCCTTTAATATTGGAAACATTGGCTTTGGCCCTGTCTGGTGCGGGGAGGGGGTGGTAGCCCCAATGTCCAGAACATACAAAGCCCAGATTCTGAAAGACCTTAGAGCTCCCCAAATCCAGAATTCCCAGTGCCAAGGGGGCCAGTGCTCCCAACGCCACAGAGAATCCAAAGCCCAGAGTTCTCAATACACAGAACCCAGGTACCCAATACCCACGGAGCCTAATGCTTAGGCATACCCAACATCTAGACCACCCCACGTTCCTAATACCCACTTTTGAGTGCCAATGTCCCAAACCACTGGAAAAAAGCCTGGAGGGGATGGAGCAGTGCCCCTGCGTAGCTCAAGGCCTTTCAGCCACTGGTATTAGCTGGGGAGTGGCCATCACTGAAGTTGGGGCTACAGGTGATGCTGAAAGCAGCAGTAATGCTTCCTCGATGCCCCCATCTTGGATCTGGAGAGGTCAAGAGGGGCTGTAGGAGGGATGGCTTTCCTTCAGGCCCATTCCCCCCCCTCCCCCCCAGTTACAGGTCCTGTACACCACATAGCATAGGAGTGTACATCTACTATGTGCTGGGAATTGTGCTCATCTTTAAGAATGCAACCACGAGAGAAAAGGGCCCCTGCTCTCCCATATGGGACGTATGACAACGTGCCTGTGCCAGTGTGTTGATGTGGGTCACCACATTGCCATGTTGCCACCTGGGGCCACACAGGGCATAGCTGTGGGACAGAATGGCTGTTGGCACGTGACAGTGAGGGGCTGTGAACGTAAACTGTGTCAACAAGTTGACATGTGTGACTGTCAGGGCAGGTCAGACTATATCCATCTGTCTGGCCATCCTTATAGTCCCTCCCTGCCTGGCTACTTTCCAAGGGAAGGGATGCAAGGCCCCTATTCACCAGGATCATGTCTCCCTGCAGGGAGCAGGGGGCTGGTTCAGAGCCTCTAGCCCTGCAGTGGGCCTAGAGACTCCCTCTCCCCCACTGCCCCTGCCCCTGCTGGACCCAGAGCCTCTTTGGATTGAGAAGGCAGGAAGAGGGCTGGCTATAAGTGAAGCAGTCAATACCAAAAATAGCCGTCCACCCTGAGGTGGATCCTATAATACCACCCTCTTTTCCTGCTGACCTGGACCCTGGCTAGGGTCCTGTCTGGCTCCACTTCCCCCACTCCCATCTGAGGAGCCCCTTTAGAATTGAAGGAGGGACAGAGCAATGATGTCACTGCAAATTATGACATCACAGGGAGCTGTGACATCACGGGGAAGGCCACCAGGCTCTGGGTGTGGGTGGTGCATGGCTGTCTGGGTGGGTGGGGCTCCATCTGCTGGCAACTCCCCAAACTCCCAGGAGCTGGAGGTGGCGGAACTGGATAAGGCTATATTCGAGACCCCGCCTTATCTGTCCCCCCCACATTCCTGATAAGCCTCTTACGAGTGAGCGCACAGGCCCAGTGAGCAGACAGGGAGCAAGCTGGAAGAGGGGAAAGGGTCAGCCGGGTCTGGCTGAGCTCCAGAGCAGACGCAGGGGTCAAGGAGTCCTGACAGAGTCCCAGCAGGGGGCGGGGGGCGGGTGTCCCTGGGAGAGCAGTGCGGAGTGGTGGTTAGAGTGGGGATTCTGAAGCCAGGATGCCTGCACTCAGACCCCAGCTCTTCCACTTCATACCCGGGTAAGCTGGGCCGTCAGCTTCTGCAGTATTCCTCGGC